CTCGGGGGGGGTGGGGGGTGGGTATGTGTGTGAGACTGCCGTCAGGCAGCGCTGAACCTTCCTTCCCCGCGGATCCCTCGCTCTGTCCTTCCTGCTCGGCTCCGGGAGTCTGTCCGGGTGTGTGCGGGTGTGTGCGGGTGTGCGCGGGGGCTCTTCGCGGGAGAGACGGTGGTTTCTTCTGAGCCGCAGCCCATTGCGTTTTGAGAAAGCATGCAGGTTTTGCTTCGTGGTAATGTTCTAATCTTACAGTATGTTTTCATTTTTCAACCAGTTCTCCTTTTTTTTTTTCCCCTCTTCATTTTTTTTTTTTAAATCCCTTCTTTCTTCTCCCTTTTATTATTTTTTTTTTTTCTTTCCCCAGTCCGGATTTGGTGAATAAAAATGAAGGAGCTTTGACTAGTCTCTCTTTCATCATGTAATGTCTTTAGCTCATTAAACAAGTAAAAACGGCTGCCATGGTAGATTCAGGTTCTTCTTGTGGGCAAAGTCTGTAAAAAGTTTGTTTTGACGTATACTCCACAAAGAAAGAGGCTGGTGCCTTGGAGTCCAAAGGAAAATATCCTAAAGAGAAGTGTCTTCTGTGCGCCAGAATGAAAAGTGTGTCTTGCTGTTCAAGATCAATCGCTGAGGTTGCTTAAAAAAAAAAAATAATAAAATAAAATAAAATAAAGCCACTCTGTCTCTTTGCCGCATGTACAAGTTCACACAGAGCCTGTCAGCTGGCACGGCTTGGCAAAGCAGGGGAACTTCTTGCCATGTCGAGACGAGGCGTTCTCGGGAGATTATTTCTCTTGGACAATTCACATCATTTGTGGTCTCTGCATTGTGTCTTGATGTGGAGAAGAATACCAGTGAGAATAGCCAGGCATGTAGCTGTTGGGAGGCATATTGACTCCCTTGGCAGAAGCTGAAACGTCCCAGACCGGAGGCAGAGCCGGCGAGCGAGGGGAGAGGGTGGCGGAACCGGGCAGAGGGTCGCTCTCGTGGGGGTTGCTGCCCTGCTTCAGCAGCTTCTTGAATTTGGAGCGCTTGTTCTGAAACCAGATCTTCACCTGTCAACCAAAAACCGCAGCAGAGGTTAGGCTGCCCCTCAGCACCCGGGGCACGGCGAGGGGAGAGCCCGGGGGTTTGCTTCGGAGGAGGTTTTTGGGGATGGGGAGAGGGGAAAGGGGGGGGTGAGCTACGGCTGCTCTCGGGCTCTGGGTGCAGCTGGAGAGGAGAGGCAGAGCGGAGCTGGAAAGCGAGAGGGATGCGGGTTTGAACCCGGGAGGTTGTTTTCCCTGGGCAGGCCAGATGGATGGAGCTGCCACAGAGTACCTGCTCTGGGCTCTCCTCGTTCGGAATTTTGGAGGTCAATTCGATCATTTGGGCAAACTGTTGTCCAACACGGGCGACCAGATGGTTTTGGTGCCAGGAAAGAGGAGCCAAGAGACAAAGGGCGTCTCACAAAGCAATCGCGCATCCGAAAACACGCGCGATCGAGCGGTCCCTGCTGATGCGACGGGGCGGGAGGCACAGCGGAACCAGGGCTGTGGCTTATATTTTAAAAGCCGTCTTTAAAGAAAGGAATATTCTCCTTTCTCGGCGAGTAATTGTCTATCAAGATCGGTTCGGTTCTCATCGTGCTTTTAATCCGGCAGAACTCCGGAGGAGGGAGCCTTGCCCCCCAAGGAGGTGTGCAAGGATCGGGCCCACTCTGGGCAGATGCGAACGATGGCAGAAGTCAGATGTACTTAAGGCACGCATACTCACATTTTTCTTAAAAAAAAAAAAAAACAAAACCAAAAAAACCCGCCAAAGAACAAAGAAAACAACTCCCCCGCGTGTGTTTGCCCTCGCC